AAAAAAAAAAAAAAAAAAAGACTAAATAAAACAATGATCTTACATTTAACAAATTAGTGGATTTGGGCCTTGAGAATCAATGATTGCTAATACTACATGAAATGAAAAAATATTGGCAGCAGCCTACATGGCCATCAACAGATGAGGAAAATGTAGCACATACACATAATGCAGTATTTACTATTCAGCCATAAAGAATAAATTTTTTGTCTTCTGTAAGAAAATGGATGCACCTTGAGACCATAATGCTAAAAGAAACAAATCAAAGGTTAAATAATGGGCTGGCCAGATAGCTCAGCAGATTAAAGCGTCTGCTTAGGCAGACACAGGGGCCAAGGATTCGATCCCTGGGCCTGCCATGCTGACCCCGCCCCTGGGGTGTGCTGAGATAGCAATTGAGACTGGGCGTGATGGCACAGGCCTGTAATCCCAGCACTTGGGAGGCTGAAAACAGGAGGATCACTACAAGTCCAATCTATATAGTGAGACCCTATAGACCCTGTACTCAAATACAAAAAAAAAAGTTAAATGTTGGATTCTCTTATATGAGAAATCCAAAGTAGAAATAAAGAGCAAAAAAGATGATAGGAAATAGGGAGATACACCTTTTGTATATATGGACAGAGATCTAGGGATAGAGGATATGTATTTGTACCCCATAAGGAATTGATTCAATATATACTAACATATTAGTATATATTGAATTAGTGTATAGTCTATATTGAATAAATATAGACTAATTTTATTAGTCTATATACAAATATATACTAATGAAAAAGGAAAGACAGACTGGGGAGATGGCTCAGAAGAATAAGCACTTCCCTGGCAAGTACAAGGGTCTGAGTTCAATTCCCGGTTCCGCCAAAACAAAAATTAAATTAAATTAAATTAAATTTAAAAAGAAAAGACATCAATTATGTAGCTGATCTTCAGAGAAAAACACTGAGGTAGCCAGCCTCCAAGATGGCTCTCCAAGAGCCTTTCTTCCTGGTGTGTACGGTCCTGTGAATCACCTCTCACACTGAACAAGGCTGTGTGCCCAGTTAAGTACTGTGCAATGGGAGTGCACAATTTTATGTAAGGCAGACAAGACCTTACCACTTTCCCTTTGCTCTCTTGGTTTGCTTGCTCCAGAGGAAGAAGCTGTAACAGAAACCCATCTGGGGAGAAACTGAAGTCTCCTGCTACTATGGTGTGTGTAGATGGTGCCTCAATGTCTCACGTGGTCACAGGGCCGGGTTTTCAGAGGTTGCTGAATCTACAGTGTGACTGATTCAGATAGGATGCCAGGATTAGGGCTGGGTGACCATGGGATCAGTCTGCTGATTAGACTGGCACCACCCTAATCCCAGCAGTCTGGCTAAAAGGGGCAGAAAGAGGCTTGTTTCACCCTTTTTGCTCTTGCTGTCTTCCCACCACAAGCTGTTATCCCTCTGCAACGCCAGCCTGCAGCCCCATTACTGACTGAAACCTCTATAAACTGAGCTAAATAAACCTTTCCTTCTTGGAGTGTTGGGTATTTTCTCATCGATGAGAAAAAAGTAAGACACCTGAAATAAAGCCACCACCAAACAGTCATGTGAGTGAGCCATTCAGGAACCAGTTCTGCCTATAAATTAGGACTGCTCCTGCTCTTTCTCCCATCAACCTCGCTGACGCATGCTTTGGTTTACACCTAAAATGTCCCATGTGTTCAGAGACGAGGGTGCTATACTCACTAGTGGATTAATCCATCAATGAGCTCAGAGCTAAATGCGCTGTTAGGAGATGGGGCCTGACTAAAGAGGTGGGTCACTTGAACATGACCTGGAAGAGAATGTTGCTCCTTTCTCTTATAATAGGCCACATACTACACATTCTTATTGTGGGCAACATGACTCAGGAGACTGGGTGTGGTGGCTCACACCTATAATCCCAGCTCTTGTGAGGCTGTAAACAGGCGGATCACTGCGAGTTTGATCTAGTAAGACCCTGAACACCCTGTAGACCCTGTCATAAAAAAAAAATAAAAACAACAATAATATTTAAATAACAATGGAATACCCTTTTCTGACAAAATGAAACAAAAAAAGGGGATACAAATGAAGGACCATTTTGTATTTGTATATTCAAAAGTTAGGATAGATATACAGCTACTTTCTCTTAATTCAACGAATAAAAAGATTTGTTCTAATAGTGTTTGTGGGAAGGATATCATGTCTGCATCTTGTACTATGAATAATCACTAAGAAGACAATATACAGTGTATTAATTATTGAAACTGTCCTAATTGGTTTTGAAATTCTCATCGCTATTTCTCAATAAAATTTTTAAAAAATGTTTTTATGTGGGCAAAGAATATTCATACAGTTAGAAATACCCAAATATTCAAAGAAAAACACAACCCTCTTGTTTGGTTCTGACATTTGATCCCTAGTTTAGGGTAATCACACTTATACCATTGAAGCATATAACAGCATGTACGTATATATTCACTTCTTCAAACAAACATGAGACCATTTTTTATTTTTCAAATATAGCTACTCAATTGTAATCATTCTCTGAAAATTAATAAAAGCTGATAGCTACAAATTATTTTTAACAGTAACAATACAAAAGTAGGGGCTGGGAAGATGGCTCATTGGGGCCCAGGAGATGGCTCAGTAGAATAAGCGCTTCTCTGGCAAGCGTAAGGGCCTGAGTTCAATTCCCGGTTCCACAAAAAAAAAAAGTAAATGCAATTTTATACCTGGAAACATAAATTACATTTGAACGCACATATAAAAACAGGCTCATTTCTCATCTTCGAGCTGTTTCTTCTCACCGTCTTCTGTATCAAAAGTAAATGGTTTGTCATAACCCATTAAATGGTTATAGTCTTCAGGATTTGGAAAAAGCACTGGATTAACTAACAATGATTTTGTTTTTGCATAAAATGTGGTAAACACATGCATGCTGTCTGGAATCCTCACATCATTTTGGTGAAACACTGTGCTTGTTTCCGAAAGCACAACATTGTAAGTAATGGCTTTATAAGTGTCCGTTGTGGCCTCATGGTACAACCGAATGACATAGCCTTTTGTAAGAAAATGAAGCAGTGCTGGCGTAACCACTGTAAAGCTTCCTATACAACCATAAAATAGGACTTGCAAAGGCAGACTTGCAAATATATTACTTTGTGAAAACAGGTATGGTAGAAGTGTAAGGCTGAGCACACTTGTAGAATAAGAGAAACATTTCACACCTAAAAGGGAAAAAAAATGGAGATTAATAAATTTTATAGAAGAATCAATCTATCCCATTAATTCTACTTTTCTACTCCTATAAATCATCAAAATGCCAACAACAAAATCAAAACATATAGTTCTTATTATATATCAGACTCTGTCCTAAGCACGTTACATATTTTATTCATGAAATCTATAGAAAATTCTTATGAAGAGATGAGTAGGTCTGACATAGTGATTTACACCTATAATCCCAGAATTTGAGAAGCTGAGGCAGAAGGAATACCATGAGTTCAAGGTCAGACTGTGCTACATATTCAGTTCAAAACCACCTTGAGTCCATTTTGTATCTGTGTATTCAAAGTGGTTAGGATAGATATATAGTTACATTCTCTTAATGAATAGAGGGATTTGTTCTAGTGGCGTTTGTAAATAGGATATCATGTCCGCATCTTGTACAATGATTAACCACTAGGAAGAATGCATGCAATGTGTTAATTATTGAAACTGTCCTACCAATTTGATTTGAAACTGTCTCATTGCTATTTGTTTCTCAATAAAATTATGGAAAAAAATAAA